GAGCGTCAATCGAAATTTGTGATTGTGTCGTTCTTCTACATCCTAAACTGGGTACCTGAGTGTTCAGTTGGGATGCCGAATAAAAAAAAACATCAAAAGTCAGCATCATCGCGTCAATCTTTTTTGGTAGGCTTGTGTGGGCGTCGTGGACCCGGGGAAGCTTTGATTCACTAGCGCAACGAGGAGCGAACGGCCCTAGAGATCTCCCCACCCCCTCCCGGCGCTGCGGGCCAATCGGAACGCACGTCACCAAAAGGCAGACGTTCGCTTCGGATAGCATACCAGCCGACGCTTACTTCCTCTGCCGATATTGCTTTTCCAAAAGGGAATCCTCTCGCTTCCTGTGATGTAGTCTTCTGAGTTCGCTGCTTCTGGAATGCGTCTGAACAAACTTCAATATTCCGAGGAACGTACCGTTCGAGAAGGGCAAGGGCTCAATTCAATGTATTCCGGTATCCTCTTCACCAGGGGCGCACAGAGAGCGGCCCTCGGAATATTTTCTCGATTTCTCACGGCCTGGGACGCCTGTCCTAGAGTTTGTGAGAGTCAGGTCGGAATCCCGAAGAAATGTCGACGATAGTTCTTTCGGATTCTGCTCTTACATTGAGGCCAGAATTATGATCCGTAGCTCATCAATTGATGAATTGACCTCATATTGTTCCCGCCCGCTCAGTATGTCCAGGGCTGGGTTCCGGCTGCAGCTCCGTTCGTCTGGAGGAGACTCGCTGTGTCGATGATTCCTCCTGCTGTTATTTCTCCTTGGTCATGTCCGATACATTAGCCGCGGTCTATTCACATGCTTCGTAGGTCGGTGACACTTCTCTGGCCCCGAGATCCTTGTGACGCAGAGTGCGCCGAGTTCATGGTTCCGAGGACAAAACTTTTCCCGGACTGAAACGTGAAGAAGCATCCTAATGGGAGATTCGTCGTCTCCAAGGAGTCCATTCATCCACACATCATTCCCAATGATCAGAGATCAGGGTTACTGGATCCTCGGACGGAGATCACCAGAATCGTTTCGATTGCTTTATTCTCGAATCCGAAAAACCGATTAGCGTCGGGCCTTAAGACCGTTCAAGTCAACCGAACGACACGGAATCATGCTTCGACAAAAATCAGCTGCGACCGCTGGCGAAAATGATTTCTCCGGCTCCTTTTATTCGGAGCATTTATCATTAGTGAACCTCAGTATTCTCTCTACGATCTGAGGGCAAATATCCACTCCCCGGGGACCGGGCCTGACTCCGGGAACTGGTCATTTGAACTTGAATCGGAGGCTCTCTCCCCGGAGGAGACCGTCCCCTCCAGAAACAAGAATGAATTCCCTTCTCTCGGTCTTCCTTCTTCCTCCTGGCCGACATTTCAAATGGACACCGCGCCTCGATCACAGAACTCGTCGCCCCGGGTCCCCGATGGTCGTTCGACCCGTTTCGACCGCACTCAAACCCTAGTCTCGCGAACGAACTAGTCGTCGTGACGTGACGTACGACCCCCGTCCGGGCCTCGATGAGTCACTGAAGCCCCGTAATGTCCCTCTACGTCACAATGCGATCCAAATGCGCGAAAGCGACCCCGCGCCGCTAGCGGTCGACGGGTGAGGGTTGGAGCGACCAGCCGGAGCGCGCATCATCACAGTGGCCCCAGGCTTTGAAGTCGGAGCTCTCTCGGTGATGCTTGTTCTCCACTATCGGGGGCCCGGATTCTCCCCCATTCGCCGTGAGGAAAATATTTTTCGGAAAAACTGGTGGTGCCTTCCTCTGTGTCCATTCTGTCTCAGCACATGGTTTCTCGTCACCAAACAATGGATCGCGGGCATCGCCCTCCTGAGTTTGTCGATACTCTCGGTGTGCGTCGCCGCTGCATGGCTGGGCCCTCTCGTATCAAAATCAGCCAAAACCGACGACGACACAAATACAACGTGTTCGACCATAATCCCCATAACGGATAGCTGCTGCAGCGACTTTGGCGGGCCCTGACGAGCCGCTGATGCGGTGTGTGTTCGTCGGAGTCCAGGTATTCCACAGGCGGTTTCGCTGCAAGCTCCCGCAAGGAACAGAGAGAAGGAGAGAGACGCCGCGACAAGCCTTCGTCTTAGGAGCCGCCAGCGCACTATATCGCCTCGCCGTTTCTGCGCAAAGCCGCATGAAGTTCTGTTCAGATGTAAGTGCGTAAATCAGTAGCGCTGCCCCTGGCCTCGATCAAAGGCGGGACGATGAGCGCGGAAGTCCGCGGTGGTTCTTCCGTGCGACGCAATTTCCGCGCAGATCTCAGCAGCGACTCGGACAATGCAGTCGCCGAGATTTCGACAGTGCACCTTTTAGTGCTATCGCGGACATCGGGATTCCGATCGATTTGCAAGAAGTGAGTTACAATTCCTATATTGCGTTGCAACTATGACATCAGGCGATATTTATAGAGGGCGCTGTCGTCATTAGAATAGTCTGCCGGATGCGCGGCGCCGCGCGCCAATCTCCTCTCGACTGCAGTCCCGAAATTCCTGCTCTGGACAATGAACTCGAAACTCTCAATAAACGCCCGGGTATTTAAAGAGGGATCGGAAAGAGCGATCAAAGCTTTATGAAAGGGCACTTTCAAGGCATCACAGGAAAACAGGGTTCTGCCGTGAGGGAGATGCCGCCCCGACCACGGGGAATTCGAGAACGATCTTATGTTGGATAGTTCGCAAAGCCACCTGATTGGATTTTCCTTCGATGATTGGAAGAGACTAATTTGACTGCTCCATTGCAGATGCGACTTTGCCATGGCTCATCGCTTCGAGCATTCGAATTTTACCTGAAAGTCTTATATCAACTTTTTCAGCCATATGTCCACACAGCTACTCTCTGTAATATTCAACTCCTCGGAAGAATATTGAATTATGTATTTCTTGTACATACATATATCGTGTTGTGAAAGATTTCATTAAGCATCCTCTCAAATAAACATGGTACGTTGGGTACATTCCCGAACACGCCATGAGTTTCACTCGCCACCATCTGCCAGGAGCGTGGGATTTGCGAGTTGCAGACGAGGAGCCCGTAAAAGTTCCATAGGGACTTCCGGAAGGTCTGACAGCGCGACGAGCTCACGTTTCGCGTCGTCGTGTGCGAGGCCTGAGACGGGGGTGGAGTCTTCCACACTCTGGATTTCGTCGGTGAGGACTGAAGCTTACCGCCATCCAGGGACCAAGGCCTGAGTCCTGAGCGTCGACGAGAAAATTTTTTTCATGGCTGAAATGTCAGCCATAAGAATCTAGAGCACGCGTTCGGTGATCGATAAACTGAGCGCATCGAGGTCGATATGGTTTCGGTAGGACACATCGAACGGAGCTTGAGGAGCAGTAAGCGACGCATCCCTAACGGAAGTGAGAACGACTCGAGCCGTGTTATTCATCGCGCCCGCTCGTGGATCTGAAGATTTCTCGCATGAGGCTTCAGTGATCCCTGGAGCCCTTAGAAATCTACTCCCCCGTGATCGTGAGATCGGCTGCGACGACAGGCACTCATGCAACATTGCTGATAGCGGAGAGGGAAACTTAGGGAAGAAAATGAGCTTTCGATTTCCCGACAGGTACTCGAATTTGACCTCCCACAACCCCAGCTGTAGCTATAGGAGCCGACGTGAAGTTCTCGTGAAGTATATCGCCAGCGAATATCACCGCTCTGTTAGGCTGTTTAACGTTGAGCTTGAGCCTCTCCCGACTTCGAAATTCACCGCTATGCTTTCCCCTCTCGCGAACACTATCTCGTTGTCGCTTTGTCGGCGGGTCGGCAACACTGGTGTCCCCCCTCCCCCCATCCTCGTAGAGGGTCTGACGCGGGGAGAAGGAGACCTCCCTTGGCCTTGTCCACCGCGGTGAAATCTAGTCCGATGTCGTCTGGGATTGAGGGTAACTGCACGCAGTTTTGAGGGAGCGAGAAGAACTGAAGACGAATCTAATACCCCTGACGGCGGAAAGGGTAATGCTGACTTGAGAAAACAGGGAATTCTCACAGCTCTTCGAAAAAGGAATGCGGAGTTCCCTTGACGGCAGGTGGAGCATATCGCGAAGCTCGATAGATCGAATTTGGACATTTGATCGGGTGATACCAGATCCAACCTGAGCTGTCGAGATTCCTTCGTGCCTTTCCTGTATACTTGGCCCTATAGTTGCCGTAATCACCCTTCGGGGCCGTTTGGGAGAACAGGGAACATTCACTCGAATCGTATGAATCAGGTTTCTCGGGAGGAAACGTTTCCCGTATCCATGCTGTATGCAAGGCAGATTGAGGAGAGGTGGGGAAGAGAGAGAAAATAATCTCTGTAGGAATCTCCCGGCAGAGTTCCGACGCAAAAGAGTCATGGGACTTGAATGACCTAGAGCTCAGTCGCGTCGGTTCCCATCAGTCGAGCTCGTGAGATGGTTTCGGTGCAGATGCTTTCGAGGATCTAGGAAGAGATCCGCAAGATGGAGCGAGGGAACTTTCTCCTCAGGTCGGCCCACGTCTGGAATCCATGCATACATGGAATTCTGGTGTGATAGGGCGGATTGTTGAAATCGAAAGCGCCTCGTTTCCATCCAACTTGCGTTCGCGATTTCCCCTTGAAGAAACGTCAAGACACCGAGCGGCGAAAGGTGCGAGTGCTCGGGGATCTCGGGGTCGACTTCGTCGCGACGAGGCATTCGAAGAAGAGGAGCGATCAAGCGAATTTCCCTCACGGAAAGCTTTGCGTGAACTTTTCCGCAGAACCCCCGGCGACACACAGAGAGGAGTCATGACAGGAATCGACAAGCGAATAGACATGCCGCATCGGAAAATAACTCAAGTGACAACGGAATCTAGAGCCGAGCCGAAGAATTTTGTGTAATTAACCCAATCATTGTCACATGGATATTTGCCAGATTCTGAGACTACGCGATAGAGGCGCGGACGGACGGCCCCAAACGACGCGGGGGTCGGCTCTCATTCGGAAGCTCTCCGAGGACGGGGGCTCAGTCTCCTCTTGGAGGGAACATAATTTCAGAAATCTTTCAGGTCGTCCCTCAGAGGGTCTCGCTCTTCTGGTTTCGACAAAGTCCTCAACAAATCGCGAGCACATTTCGTTTCGCGATTTGCCGCGAGTTCCGAGTCCTGGAGAGCAAACTGATTGAGACCGAAGATGACGTCATAGTAATTCACGTTTGAAAACCAGGGATGATTTTTGATGTCATCGACGTTGGTCCTCGGGCCGCCAAGCCGTTTGACCGGCTCCTTCTCGAGAAACTGTTGGATAACCAGTTTGGCGCTGAAGCTGAGAGCATCAGTGCCGAGACCTGAAAGTGGATCCGATGTAATTCGTCTCTGCAAGACATCTTTGTGATCTTGTTCTCCGCCGAAGGGAAGCTTTGCGAGGAGCATTTCGTATATCACTACTCCCATGGACCACCAGTCGACCGCGTTTGTGTACGGTCGTTCCTTGAGCATTTCTGGTGCCGTATAGGGGGTGCTTCTGAAGTTTTTTCCGGAAATCGAAGAGCCTATTATGGCGGCTCCGAAGTCGCTCAATTTCACACGGCCCCTAGAAAAAACTAGGAGATTACGCGGCTCCAAGTTCCGGAGAGTTATATCCATTGCGTGCAGGAACTCGAGCGCTAGTACCGCTTGAATCGCTATTTTCACAGCTCGTTCTTCTGGGATAGCACCTCTCGAGAGCATGCTCTTCACGTCACCGTAGGGCGCGTATTGCATGATCAAGTAAACGTTATCAGCATCCTTGAATTTCGAGAGACACTTTACTACAAACGGGTTGTTCATGGCACAGAGCCACTTCCTTTCCCGGATCACGATTGCTTGGCTTTTCCTCTCTCGAATTCGTCGCTTCGCGTGTTTCTTCACAGCGTAGAACGACCCCTGATCCTCGACTCTGTAGATCTCCCCGAACACTCCTTCACCGATGACGCCCAGAGTGTCGAGGTTCCGGACATCGAGTTCGAGGCACTCATTCTTGCTCAGTCCATGCTCGAAAATTTGCTTAGCGTGGTCGAGTTGATCACGATAATCTTTCAGCTTTCTCTGGATTCTCGCGTCACACATCGTTATTCGGAGCAGACACTGCGCTGCTGAGTTCCCATCGTAGGAATCTAATGTCCCCGCGAATGGTGGCGAGCGCTTCTCTTCAGCGATGGATGGCTGAAATCCGACGCTCTCAGAGAAACAAGCCGCGCTCCCCTGATCCTGTAGATTCCAGGCGTCATAATTAATACTACAGATTGAGTCTACGAAGCAGGGTCTCGAAAGGAAAGAGGAAATGATGAAGTCGAATCCGACCATCGCGTACATCCATTGCGGAGCTGATTCTCAAACGTCGTAACAATGGAGTCCGCAGGGTCGAGAGCACACGTCTGCAGTCCCTTCATGCAATCGATCTCTTCATACTCGATTTGAGCCAGGCGGAGAGCATGTCAGATCAAGAGTTTCGAGGAGCGGAATCTCAATCTGCGGAGACAGCGAGGGGTCGTGAAGATAAAAACGTGACGGGTGATTGCGTTGCACAAGGACCGGGAACGAGATTCTAGCACGATTTCGGCCCGAATACCTTGCCCAAAGGTGGCATCAGCAGAGGTTTCGGGAGCTGGGGCTCCGTGAAACCTGTAGCTCGTGACGCTTAGCGGAATGTGACGAAAATATGGGAATAAGACTCGGGAGCCCCCCTCGACTTCTCTATTAGGTACATAGGACATGCATTCCGAACTTGGCTCCTACGCTGAGATCGGGGACTCGCTCCATTCCAATCCATCTTGAGTTTTGGGATACACAATAATGATGGCAATCATTATTATTGATCCGTTTCATGGGAAGAGATTTGCCTCGGGATCTTGCCTTCGATATCCATCTCGATATGCTCGAAGGTGTGACTTGATAAAGCTCAAGGCCTCGGTGACATCCGATCTGAAGAAAAGAAAAAGGTGGATAACATCTTCCGAGTGCGCTCCGTGATCGCGGTTATCAACCGCTATGGCGGTGTTTCCCAAACGTGAGACTTCATAGGGGACAGCGTATGAGCGCAGTCAATAATCGAGGTTTTGCATGAACCATGCGTGTTCATGAATTATACGGTTCCTCATGAATTATGCGGTTCTTCATGAATCATGCAAAGCCTACCTCAGTTTCGGGCAGTGCATTGATCTAGGCCGTACCATGAAATGGATTGAGAGACAGTCACAACGAGGATCGAATCTTCTGTTCAAGTTTCAATATCGTGTGTCAAAATGATATCGTCTCTATTCTCGTTCGCTGTGTGTGCCATCAACGTTTGACCCTCCGTTCGTGACGTTTCCCTTCGCTTCCCCCGAGAGCCGCTATAAAGTTATTGGTTTTAAAAACGTGCACGGTGAGACGCCTCGTTCACTGCAAAAACCACTCTGATATCCCACCCCAATACGGATTTATCTCGAGTTCGCGAAGTGAATTTCATGATCATGACGTGCAAAGTACCTACATGCGATCCTTCGACATTTTTCATGCACGTTCCGACCGGCTTCTATGTTGCGCCTTCCCAGCAGCTTCGAACTTCTTTGCCGACGCACCCTCGTAGAGAGAGAACGTTTCCTTGTGGGATCCGTGGGAACCATCGATGCCTCCTCAGTCGCGAAATGAGTAAGTCTGCCAATTCACCTTATGTCATCAAGGAGCCCTCCGCATATTTTCCTCAGATTGCGATTTGAAATCATCATCATCTCATGAACACGTTTTTTTGAGCAACGAAACATCGAGATCTCACGAGGACATTCTGCGACATCATGCGTTGCTCGCGGGATTGCTCGTAATATCTTTCTCGTAGAAAATACCGTGATTGCTCGTTGTTCCAGATTCCGGACGGGAGTATTTAGAGCCACGGATGCCGAAAAAACCTTCCAGTGTGACTTATGCGGATACCAAACGGGAACTATGAAAGGCCTGAAAATCCACCGGAAAAGGACACATTACCCCAAAACAAAAGAGTCAGAGTCGGGGTTTCGAGAGTTCTTCGAGGGCCTGACCCCTCAGCAGCGGAAGGTATATAATCAAATCCACAGAGGTTCCCTGCCGAGGAATTCGAGTTCTCCTCAGCGTATTGCTAGCTGCAACGTGTCTGACCGTTCACGGGCCGGCGGACACGTGCGTGGCTCGCCGCCTACAACCAACAATCAGCACTCGGCAGGACTATCAAGGAGTGGAGACGGTGCGCGTTCGATCGAGGAGGTGAGTATCGCAGAGGCTCTAGGCAGGAAGCCGTGATTAACATATCGTGTTCGTGGCCTTCGGATTCTCGGCTTAGGGCAGGGAAATTCACCCGCGAACCTAATGAGAATTCGGAGTTCCAGGCGGAAGCCCCGGAACGGCTCGTAAACGGCTTCCGTGAGTCACACGAGAGCTTTGAAGAGGAGCTCCCGGAATACGCTTCTTCAGGTACCCTAAAGTCCCGCGTATAAGGGACCTTTCATTCCCGAAAATACCGCTCCGTATAAGGGACTTTTCGTATAAGGGACTTTTTGTATAAGGAACCTCGCGTATAAGGGACTTTTTGTATAAGGAACCTCGCGTATAAGGAACCTCGCGTATAAGGGACTTCTCGTATAAGGAACCTCGCGTATAAGGGACTTTTGTATAAGGAACCTCGCGTATAAGGAACCTCGCGTATACGAGACTTTTCGTATAAGGAACCCCGCGTATAAGGGACTTTCCGTATAAGGAACGTTTTGTATAAGGAACTCCCGCATGAGGGCTCCTCTCGCAGGGGACTCCACGCGTGAGGGATAAGATACTGTCGCGAAGACTTCTCCATGAAGAACGTTGACTGCACATGAGGATATGGTGGGAATCCGAACATGTGACATGGAACGAATGGGAGCATGGCTTTGCCTTTCCTGAAAGCTCTGCGTCTTCTGTCGGTCGTGGATAGCTTCTCCTCCTCTGCCCTCCAGCGATATAGCATACTCTTCGATATATTGAATTCAAGGAGCGTTGCTGTCATTCCGAATTGTTTATCATGGCGTAAGACTTCCAGTTTCCGTTCTGCTGAGTAGGAGATCCTTGTCCTCTTGGCCGTCTGGTTTGAATCCATGGTATACCTGATCGCACACAAAAACTACGAAGGATTGCGACTGGAACCTGTATTTCTCCAACTATTTTGGCCGCGAGGATCGACGGAGTCGGAATCGAAGGGACAGTCGGTTTGCCAGAGAACAGACAGCTGGTAGAGGAGAGGCCGCAACGGAGAAACAGCTGATGGAGCAGAGGCTGACAAGCAGCGGAGTAGCCAGCATTGCGCCCTCATACGGAGAGTCCTCTATACGAGGAGTCCCTTCTGCGAAAAGTCCCTTATACGAAAAGTCCCTTATACGAAAAGTCCCTTATACGGAAAGTCCCTTATACGCGAGGTTCCTTATACGCGAGGTTCCTTATACAAAAAGTCCCTTATACGCGAGGTTCCTTATACAAAAAGTCCCTTATACGATAAGTCCTCTATACGATAAGTCCCTTATACGAGGCGTCCCTTATTGGCGGGACTTTAGGGTAATATTTTCCGCTGATTTCCGAAGCTCCGCGGCTTAAGGGGAAGCAGTCAACATTTCCATCGCTTCCAGGATCATCGGGAGATGGGCCAATAACACATGACTTCCAAGGCTTGACTCGTTCGTCCCACGTCAATTCCTACGGGATCCCCATCGCTAACGCGGGGAATTATTTGTTGCGCCAACAACAGCTCCGGGTGAGTGCCTCTCCGGAGTTCGCGGAGAGAGTTCGACCTCTGTAGACGGGTCCAACACTCTTAGACGGGTCCAACACTCTTATCCGAAACCGCGAAATCTCCAGCGCACCACGAACGCTTCGGTCTATCGAACTTCAATCAACGGCTACGCTGACTCGGATCGACAATTCGGCTATTCAGCGATCGAGGGATCGAGATTCAATAATAACAACTTCAGGCAGGGCCCGCTCCCCGCGCTGAGCGATTCGTCGTGGCAGTAAGTGTTGGGATACAAAATATTTCATCGGGATCGGGGCGCCGTCTGTGAACAAGCTGAGATGCCGCGAGGTTCATTCGGCGCTATGATGAGAATGTCAGTGTCTCTGCAAGCATGTTTGACTGTGAGACCGTCCTCCCGGGGCATAGGCGAAACCAACGATGAGCTCCGGAATCGAGTGGAATACCTCTTTCCAGGAGGAGCGATGCGTCCGGGAAAGGCTCGCTGCAACTTTTCTGGCCGACTTGTTTTTCGAAACTCACGCTCCGCGAATATTACAGCAGAGGCTACTCATTCGGATCTGCAGTCGAGCTCAACGCTTGCAAAGATTTTCTAGCTCGCCTCGGCAGTACTATCGTGCCGGATTTCAATTTTTGGAGCCAATACGACATTCTGCTGCGATGCTCGCAATGCGAGACGCCCATCAGAGGAATGGTGAACATGGAACACCACATCAGGTGAGGACGAATCCTGATATCGCTGCCTGTCAAAGGGTCTCGCAGGAAATGTGCCCCTTTTTGGAAATCGCTTCGGCGATCGAAGGCGCGTTCGAAAGCTGAGTCTGAGAGCTTTCATTTGCGCTAGTCAGATCGAAAAAAGGATCACTCGGGACGGAGATATATGACGATTTTTGTGAGTCGAAAACTATATCGACAAAATCGCTGATCTTTCTTCTGCGGACTGTTTCCCGCGAAAAAAAGACTGTGTGCGAAGTTTCAGATTGGCTGCTCAACTGTAAGTATGTTTAAGTACCCAAAAACCTTTTTTCATTGAACAAGCCCAATTGGATTCTACCACCATTCGGCTTGCGGAGGCTCCATCTAGAGGACGGTATGAAGAGGCGTCAGAGTACCCCGGTGAGATCTTTCCAGATATCTGGCGACTGACTCATGGATTTCGCTTAAGCATCCGAAGCAGGGCTCCGGAATGCTCATCAGTGGGCTAGTTTCTGCGAGCCTCGGATAAGTGGAGTCCATGATACCATGACTCCTCTGCGTAGTGGGAAATTTCTTATCGCGCTAGGGTCCGATGCTGCGGCTGAGCCCGAGTCCGCGGTCTACCCATGCTCATGTGATTACATCATGGCGGTGGTTCCTCGGCTACACAGCGACCTTCTTCGGCTCCGTGCGACCACCAGTTCTCTAGGTGGAAACCTCCGCAAGCCGAATGGTGGTGGAATCCAATCGGGCTTACTCAATGAAAAGAGGGTTTTCGGGTACTTAAACATACTTACAGTTGAGCAGCCACTCTGAAACTTCGCACATAGTCTTTTTTCGCGGAAAACAGTCCGCAAAAGAAAGAACAGCGAAATCGTCGATATAGTTTTCGATCTGTGAAAATCGTCATATTTCTCCGTCCCAAATGATCCTTTTCCCGATCTGACTAGCGCAAATGGAAGCTCTCAGACTCAGCTTCCCAACGCGCCTTCGATCGTCGCTCTGCGACCAACCGTTCCAGAGATACAGCTCTCTGAAGTTGGTCGCCGAAGCGATTTCCAAAAAGGGGCACATTACCTGCGAGACCCTTTATGTGTCCTCACGGCAGTCCAGATAGTATTCCGTGGGGCATATCCCTGTCCTGCCCCGGAGAGATCGGATTTCCCCTCCGCGTATGGCATCATAGACTGACTCCGCCGGCTGAGACGGGGCTGACAGCGCTCGAATGTAGAGCACAGATCTCGCAGAACGTACCCCGCTTTTGCCTCCGAAGCTTTGTGTCTTTTTGCAGAGATCATCTGGAATCCGAACGACATGTGTGTGGCTTTTCTTGCGATGCCCCCGAGCGAATGATGGACAACTCATGGTCTCCCGAGCGGAACGCTCCGATGGGGCACTCCGCAGAGAATCCAACTTCGAGGCTGGAGGAAGAAACCTTAGCCGCTCGCAGCCCTCCAGGATCGCGTCCGAACGGAGCTCCGATCGCCGCTCTCGCGGCCAACGTGTCCGCGTGAAATCAGATGGCGAATCAAATAAACGAATCTTCAGAATTCCTCTCAATGGAAAAACGAGCCGTATATGTTATCTTTTCGAAGTCTTGAACCTCGTGACACACTCAGTCTCAACTCTTCACAGTGCTCTGCATTATGAGAATACCCAGGTGCCGCTTGAGCGATTCGGATATATGTACATCCGCCCTAGATACAGGGAGAACCATCAAAATTGGCTTCATGTGGTCGAAAAAGGGACGCTCCTACGGTACGACTTAAGAGCCCGGTTCAAAGAAGATTTGGTCGATTTCTTGTGTCGGAAAGGCAACAAGTATCTGTTTCTATGATACCGCGGGCTTTCACTGCCTAATACGCTGCGCACGACGCGTGATTGACGGTCACTCGCGAAGGCGGAAGCCTCGGTCTCGTCTTTCCGATCCCTGGGATATCTGCGAGATACGGAACGGAGAATGGTGGGGCATCCTCTCCCGAGATTTTCACACCGCTAGGGAGGACGCCGCGCCGGCGCCGTCCCGGTCACCGAGGTCCATTTTCCTATGCATTCGCATGCCTCTGCATATCACGCATATATCTGCGTATTACGCAAATTTTCGCATTTTAAGCATATATCTACGTATTACGCACATATTGGCATATTAAGCAAATAAGCACATATATCTGCGTATAACGCTCATATCTGAATATAACGCATATCTGCATGTTAGGCATGTATCTGACTATCACGCATACGTATATCAAGCAATCGACCGCATCCCACGCATGTATTCGCATATTTTCCCCGCATGTCCGCGTATTTCGGGGAAGCTCCACGCACCGTCGCGAATAATCGCCTAAATCCTTCTATATATCCGTATTCATATGATTCCGCGTTTGTCGGTATGTTCTCGCCTCCCTTAGCGCATCTCCGAGCATACTGCAGAAGTTGTGCTTAAGCTCCCAGTCCTGCCGCAGTCAATTAGCGGGGACTCCTTCCATCGCGATCCTCCGATATCCTCATCGCATCTTCACATACAAATCCGGGATGTAGTAAGACAACGGATTCTGCAGCGCAATGTCAAGTTGCTTCTCGTCTGCGATGCGTTTGGCCGAAGAATGCCGCGGGCCAAAGTTGAGTTGACGGAGCTCCGTTAGGTATTCGGCGAAGACGTTTTCTCGTCAACGAGACGACACCCGTCTGCAAAGCGTGCAAGAACACATCCCCGAGCGCCCGACGTTTCACTTAGACTCAGCTACTGCAACGGACTCGCTTCGGGAGGCGCTGGAGCGCATGCAGGCGAGGCGGCACGAAGAATCGCGGAGGTCGCCGCTTGTTCATATGACATACCGTCCTCCCCGTTGGATGTGTGTGAAGCATACTTGGCCGCAGACGTGCACCTGTACAGGCTCGAAATCACCAGATTGGATCGATTTCCAAGGAGTCGACCCTGCGGAAATTCAGCGTCCACGGAACACACCGGAGGGAGGTGCAGACAAATAATCAATAACGTTGGTGTACATCGGGTCATCTTCTCGGAGATCCATCGGAACGGAGTCCTGCGCTGCGGATCCCCACGGCTCTCCTCGCGGAGTGATATAAAGCTTTGGCCCTCCTACGCAAGGGAGAGACGGAGAGTCCACTCATGGTGATTGACCGGAGCGAGCTCAACTCTATGAATATTTTAGGATATCCATCTGTCTTTGCTGTAAATAAACCAGGTTGGGTAACTTATGCCGAACGATATGGGAACGATTGATGTCCTGTCCTAATTGACCGGAGTGAGGTCACGGCAGGAGCATTGTGAGTTGATGAATAGCCTAGAATCCCCTCGGAAGATGAACCTCGGCCGCCGAAATATTCCGAAATATTTTCTCTCAATTTGTGTGGTCTGCGACGTCCTCGCTACTTGTTCAATTTCCCCCAGACCCCCAGTATCCGTTCCGTGCCCGGAAGCTAGGGGATCTCCGAATCGATTAGAACCGTGGAAGCAATTCATCGGAGCCTTATCGTTCTTCACGGGCCCACATCCGACCTTATCCGACAATCAAATATTGCGAGCCAACCGATTTTGAACGGCGGATGACCTGACTCTGAGATGACCTGACTGAGATGAGAACATCGAATGCTTTTGGCTGGACTCATATCGTTCTGCGGTCTCCTCCGCCGGATTTCGATCGCATGTTTGAGCGTCGACGGGTAAATCATGCCGGAAAACCCCGAGTTGTGAAACCTCAACCAACGATTTTATTCGTCACCAATCTTATTTCTAACCACAGTGTATCATGGCCGACAGATATCATAGGACACGATCATGACATTACACAGTATTTTTTTCATCTTTTCGCATACTCTCTCGTTAGTGTAGTCGTGATCCTGCGTTCCGTTCTTCATAGTGGTATTGTTGGTGAAGGTGGGCTCAGATGTCAATCCCTTTTCTTTTTTTCGAAGGTCATTTCTTCCTTTTCATCCATTGATTTTTTTCGACGCTTTTTTTCCGTTTCGACATCATCTCGTTATGTCCGATATCAAAAAAAAATTGCACATCCTATGTACAAGGATTCTGAGTGTCTTTCGCTCGCGAAGCGATGGGTCTCTCTCCGGAGAATCCCTTCGCTCCGACTGTTGTCGAAAGATCTTCTCCTTCTCAACTTCCCATTGTCTCACAATATATTAGCTACGGAACAATCTGAGTTCAGAGACGATGGAGGGAACCGCGAATCCTTCTCTTCCATCATACATATCGGTACTTTTTTTTCTGTCATTTATGTCATATCTCCCGGCATGTGGTGCCGGAACATTGCATAATATCCTTCCGACGGTCACATCTTGCTGCCAGCTCATTTTGGCGTTTTTTTTTAGTTTTGCATTTGTATATAGTAGCCGTAATACCGAAAATATCGAAACCTGAAGGGGTGTAAATAAAATTCACGTCAGAGGGGAGAACGAATTCCTGCCCCTTCCCGAACTCATTTGGGATTTTTCGGTCGCCTTATCGAAGAAGAAAACATCACAAGTGTACTTGCAGCATGGCTGCCTTGAAGTCGAGAGGAAAAATAAACGAAGGCGCCGAACCAATGTATTGGCTCCTCTTCCAAATCAGTTCTCTTCGAGTCATCTCAAGCGTCTCCGATATAAATATTATAAATTAAGGTGAATCGAATGATACCAAAAATAAGATCGCAGATATAAGGGAGTCGCGAATCATTCGGAAAAACGACATCTCTGGGATATGCAGAAGGAATGAAAAAGTCATCCTCCGAATTCCGAGAACAGCTGCATCTAACAGAATGGCAGCAGGTACCGAGTTCGCTGCGAGAGCCGAATTGAAGGGAGGCGTCAATGATCGATTCTCCGGAATCATACCGCTTCGCACGCAAGGGAATCATGCTTGAGGATTCAATTCGCAAGTTTGAGAAATCTCATTCTAGAATGCGTTTTCCATTTTGACTAGTTGTAACATTGAGTCTGTCTGAGAGCCGCGATCCAATAATAATCGGCAATCATGCGAGGCATAAAATTTCGGGCGCTTGAGTTAAGGCATTCAGATCTCACTCACATATTTTTTTGCGAGCTTTTCTTTGTACAAGTCTTGTCTCGGTATGCCAGGCTTCGTGCATCACTAAAAGGGGCTCTCTCACTAGAAACCCATTTAAAAACTTTGTTTGCGATTTCTGGTTATTGGATCAATTACACACACTTGAAGGAATCGGGGAAATGGGATGGGTCAGCGTCGATTCCCCTCCCGTCGTCCCCCAGCGGATGGCTTCTTTCTCCAACGGAGCAGATGACTGCATGGAGCGTGGAGCTCAGCAGATCGCGAAGAGCTCCATTTTTGCATAGACGTCCCGGAGGGGCTCGTCGTCGTCGTCAAAGAGTTCTAAAACAAGACTAAATGTAGGCGCGACCGTTATGCGAGAATCAGGTGTATAACCGCAGACCTTTGCCTCGAGGTCCCGGCCCGTGATGTGCTTCTGTAATCGAGAATGAGGGGTCGTCATTCAGTGCTCAGCTGCACAACAGGAATATGACGCGGGACTAAATAACAGATGAATCTGATTCCTGAGAATGCTCACCTGAAAAGTGATGCAATCCATCGGGTCGAAGTCGCAGGCGCCCTTTTTGGGCCCTACGCCCTGCATTTGCGCCTGGATTGCTTGAAAAGGCAGCTGGCGGAACTGCTCGTGCAGCGGTTGGATTGAGGTTTCGACGGCGGGGATAGACATATATGCCCCGTTGTCGACGAAGTAACACACCAAGGAGGTGCTCTCATTTAGTGCAGCAGGTGCCTTCTCAACATACGCTCGCTCCCATATCTCGTCTTGCAGACACGCATAGAACTCTTTGCTTCGAATCACCAACTCCGACGTTTTCAGGCGGTTTTCCTGTGGGAGAATCAGAGGGAGATGTTTCATGAGGGGCCAGATAGATTCTCTTTCTCTCCACGAGGATTTCCCCTTATGAGATCATGACCTGATCGGGAAACATCCTTCTAATCGTCTCTCTCGGAGAAATGGTGGACTGTACGAGTGCAGTGGTCTGGTGCATTCCGTATTCTTTGAGCGTGCGATCGATAATCGATAAATTTTTGTGACAAACTTCCAAGGAGACGAATGCGTAACTTGGCGGAACATGCTCTCGCTATCGTTTCAAGTTCTCCGAAACGACTGAACAGGTCCGGTTTCTCCAGCAAAACTAAGTCCTATATATGATCGATGAGGTGGTTCACCTGTTTGCCGTAGAACAACTGCATTGTAGCGCGCAAGTTGGCTAGTTCACCCAAAGTGTTAAAGGGTTGGCAGATGATCTTCAATGGAGAAGCTGCAGAAACCACGTGCAGGTTCACTACACTTCCTTGCTCGGGTGGGTTGTTTTCGGGGTAGACGGCCACCAGAGGTCGGACCTCGGTGTCGTCTCCTGCCGTGTGGCCGTTCTGGTCAGCCGAGGCGGAGCAGCTACCGTGAGGAGATCGAACAAGCGAATACGAGTTAGCGGACATCTGGATTGCCAACGTCAGCAGCATCGAAAGCTCAATCGTCTCGAACATACATCGACAGTAGGAATGAAAAGCCGAAATGTTCCACGAATTCTCTGAGTGAGAAGAGAATCTAAACCTTGGACCCGAAGTGCGTATCAGTGCAGCGACTCTCACACGAACGGACGAATTCCAGCCAGCGAATTCGCAGCTTTTCGACGCCAATCCTGACTCACCTCAGCTCCTCGCAAAGCTTAAGGTTCACTGAGACGAGCTCATCGTTCGGCATGGTCCGCTTGAAAACATCCACATGTTGGATACTCTCGTCACAGTCTTTGTCCTGACATCGGGTCGCCGCCGACACCTTTATGATGAGCATTTGATCCTCGGGACAGAAATCGGTGATTTTCGCGATTTCGTCCTCGGACCACATGGTCTCCGGTTGCAGGTCCGTCATGTGAGCCCGCACAGCCTGATGGAGAAAAATTCAAATTGGATTATCCGTTGACTTGCGATATTTCTCCATGATCCGCCGAAGCATTGGGTGGTTCGGTAGACCTAGGAGCCTGGAGCATCGAATCGAACTTGATTCGGTTCCAAATAGAATGTGATGAATAGTAAAATTAAATAATGTAGCGGTTCCCGTGATACACAGCTTATTTTGAAAGGAAGGATAGGAAGGACTTCTGAAAGGCATCGTTGCATACCTGTGCCGGCAGATCTTCGAGATGATAACCCATTTTGAGTGGGAACATTTTGTCAATGGAAACAGTGTCCTTGTTCCCATAGTCAATGAACTCGATGTCGATCTCGTTGTCGGAAACGATATTCGTGGCCACGCATCGGTACCAGTTCCCTTCGAGCTGAGCACAATACACCCTGTTGGGCTGGACCTGTGTAGGAAGAGCGGTCTCAGTCAGTCAAAGAAACTATTCTCAAGGTCGAATCGCTCGTTGCATCAGCGTGACCACCACGATAATATTGACTCACCGTTTTGACACATTCATCGCTGGCCGGCTCCACGGTGAGACTGCGGAGTTCATTGAGCCCGAAATCCTCGATTTGTAGGTAAATCGTCCCATCCGGAGACACGCAGCTCAAGTACCCTTTCGCGATCACAGGAGCGGGGAAAATCACCGGCGTGGCCACGACTTTGTAGATTTCGGTGTTGATGTCGATTTGAGAGCTCTGCCGGGATCGAGGGATCTCGTTACGACCCGGAATGTCTTTCACCGAGGGAGTGATATTGATAGTCTGATCATCGAGATCTTGAACTCGATTTCGATGGAGGAGCCATCGTCCATGATGACAGTCCCGAGGAATTTTCATCCGGACGCTGCCTTCACTCACCTGCTGGCAGCCTTCGCTCGAATCGTCTCCGGTGTCGTAAACCTTCACGGGGAGGGGTCTCACCGAAACGTCACAATCGGGTGTCGGGACGGCCCAGAGTATCTTGTTCTGCATCAGACGCTCCATTTCGGCGATGACCGATGGTCTCTTCGAGTCTGAGACGTTGGTGTCATCGAACTCTTCGAGACGCAGTTGGATCGATGAAAACGGAACCGAATAGAAGTCGTACGCAAGATGCATCAGCTTCTCCCGTGGAATGGATTCCGTTATTCCAAGATCGACGTAACGGAACTCGGCGGCTTCAGTTCCGTTTTCCTCCATCACACACTGGACACGATGCCAGCTCTCATCGAAAACGGCGTAAAGGGCCCCGACCACGGGTTTGTCCGAAGCCTCGAGTTTCTGAGAGGTCAGGTTCGCCTCTTCCTTGTAGTAGGCCTCCATTTCGGTGGTTAGGGTGTGGTATTCCTCCCGTTCTACGCGTCCGTAGAAGTTGTGCACGTCAACGACGTACGTGATCACGAACATGAACTGTTCGTCAGAAATCGTCAACGGTGGGACTTGGGGCGCTGTCGGTGCGACGGTGTCTTTCTTGTAAAGCACATCCGTTTTTGCGAGAGCGTTCGTGACGAAATCCAATTGTTTATGTTCGTTTATTTTGCTCCTCCAATCCTCTGGGAGCTTCTCCTTGAAGTCCTCGGCGAATATTTGCGGCACGGAATTACAAAAGACACCGTTCGGTCGCTTCTCGAGCATCTGGACCAGCTTGACTGCGACTGATTCAATTTGTTGAGGGTTCGTCATCTCGACGAATGGGAGCGTCGCCTGTTTTTCCGCTACGCGCTGCTGCAAGTTATCCTTGGTGATCCCTGAATGGACAATCGAGAACAACGCTCCTTAGGAAACCGAGAGAGAATGACATCATCCGCAATAATTACGCCTTCCACACTGCTAGCAACACCTACCAAGGGCTGCGAGCGCTTTTGCAGCGGCAGATTCGCGTGCGAGTTCTGCTGTGGGTCGATAGTCGGGATAGCTCTTGTATTTCTTTCCGTCGAGCTCGACCGTGCATAGAAACTCGGCAGTCGCCGCCTTCTTGTTGGTTTTCGACTCCATGAAATGGAACTCCGGAGCCGGGAGCGAAGTCGCTCTGGCGTACTCCTTCAGGATCGCGATCGATGAGCTGAGACCCTTCGGACTGACGGTACGAGCGGCGGCGGGCTGATGCTGTTCGTGGCGATGAGAAACCACCCTACGAGAACGTGGATCCACTATTGGAATGGCGTTAGGACGGTCCTGCAAACAGTACAAGGCGATCACATGTTGGAACTGCGATGCTATCCGATCGGACTCGCAGACCACATCGATCGGTCGTTCGGAGTGATCTGTGAATCCGCAATTCAGCTACCGGGACATTCCTCAGATTCAGTTCCGTCGCTCCTTCGAAAGCGTTGGCTCCTCGCGCACCGATCACGCGTCATTCATCCCACGGTAATCGCCCGCCACGAATTCTGGGCCATGCCTCGCTCGACTCGCCACGACTTCTTAGATTCGGTGTCGACTTTTCGGGGAGGGGGGGACTACGAACGGGAAAAAACTTGAGGCACATCGCTGGGGAACTCACCCTATACTCTCTGGAACTCCTTGAGTGGTTTCCGGATGACGAGCTCCCGTTGCTCGTAGCCACGTACTGGATCGACGGGTTTATCCAGACCATGTTTCCGCGGCGTCCGTTGAATTCTCCGTTTTGTCCAGAGGGAAGTGCAGACCTTCCGTTGCTCCTCCAGTTTCCGTTGCTCGCATTGTTTCCGTGGAGCTGGTTTCTATTGCCTCGACCGCTATGCTGTTGCTCTAAGGGGTTATCCAAGTCAGTGAATTTCCTTTCTAGAGGGATCACATCCGAGTCCATGTGCGTGCTCCATGTTGACTCATTCCAGAGGAAGTCGTCCCCGTCGTCACCGGGCGGATGATGCGAAGCCATTCCGTTAATTGACAGGTCCACACCACGGTTAGCAGAAGGAAGTTTGTTAACAGGGTTAGAAGGAGGAGTGGAGACAGAGCTTGTAGACAGAGCACCGAGAGCACAATTAGCACCGTCACCGAAATCTTCCTCTTCGTCATCATCGATGTCGACGAAATCGTCATCATCGTCGTCCACGTGGATGTTAGCAGAAGGAGGAGGAGGAGGGGGGGCCGAACTTGTTTTCACGATGGCCCGAAGTGGCCACTCACTCGATTGCGGGAGACGACGCGGAAGTCGACCGGAGGGTCCGGTTCGAGGTTTCGGAGCATGGTGGCTGTTATTCGCCTGAGGAGCTCTCGTTGGATTCCGTGGGGGTGCTCGCTTGGTCCTGTGAGCAGGCGAAGATCCGGCCCCGATGACGGTGGCCGTCTTCCCTCCCCGAGGCCTCAAACTCTGCAAGAATTCGAAAGAAATCGCTTGAGCTGCCGATTCTTCGGGGAAAATAATTTCGCAATACTCATTTCTAAATGGGGTTATCTAATTGATTCGCAAGTTTTCCACGGCGCGCATTCGCATCTACTCGTCGTGTTCCCCCACCAGTGCCAGTTCGCCTCTCATTATTTACAGCGGCATCAGCCACGAACCGTTAACTGGATGCGGCTTTCCGGAACGAAAACGTCTACAAGAGCTGCGAAGGCGGAATAGTCTTCCAATCCCTTTCGGAACACGGACTAGTGAAGAGGTATCGAGACGAGACGATGTCAATATTCAATTCTGACTGACACAGCTGGCTGGTTTCTATTGCCTCGACCGCTGTTGCTCTGAGGGGTTATCCAAGTCAGTGAATTTTCTTTTTTCTTCACAGCTCTGCAGCGGTGTCGGGATCGGATCGACCTCGGGATTTGACAGTTTGTTCAAGTCCCGTGAACAGACGGGATGCAGATTGTCATTCTGAGAGAAGAGCACTCGAGAATGGATGTTCTATCAGAAAACCAAGCGGGCTATCGATCGATCAATGAGCCGACCCATCACTTCCGGAGATATTCGCGTAAGCGGATCGCGAGAATCTAGTGACAAGTCTTCGACGAAACGTATCAGCCACGAGAACGAAGACATATAACGAGCGATAGAAGCTAGCGATACGTTCACAATACGATGGGGCGTCACGTCTGTTGGGGGTGCGATGACCATAGGGAGGAAGTTCAATCGACTCCCAAAGAGAGAGAAGTCCTTTCGGAGAGTTATTATTTGTTTTTTTTCAACTTACGAAGACCATTGCCTGTCCTCGATCATTGTTGCGGATGTGGCAAACGTCCGGCATCGTCTTCAGGAGGTCCTCAAGGTCCTTGTACGCTCCGAGAGGAATGTGGACCCCAGAGAACGTGTAGAATTCTGCGTCTAGTCTCTTTAGCGGAATACCACCTTTGGTACTCTGTAAGAGGTTACGCAGGTTGTTCGAGAGCTCGACTCCCTCCATCTTCGCTATTGCTGCTGCTGCTGTACTGAGGCTACCGGAACTCTGGAAAGCACACATAGAACCACGTTTATCCTTCCGTTCAATCATGGCTCATAGCCAGCCGTACCGAACGTCCTCCACAAGACACTTCTCGATCAGTATTTTGATTCAGAGGAGAACGGCTTTGATGTAAGTCGCTCGAGCTTCTCAGTCTGACACCGCCGGCTTGCCAGTCTATCGAGCGACGGTAACTGGGCAAAGTGGATCGTTTCGCGCGACGGAGAATCGGAATGTGGCGAGAACAAGACGACGACAACAACTATCTGTGTGACTGCTTCACAAGTCGACCCCTCCCTTGGTGAGCGGCACACCGCAAACAGGCGAGCGGGCCAGAGGACAGGCGAGACTCTCGGCGTGTGCCGAATCGACGGCACGAGACTAGCGACCGACCATCAGCTGATTTTGACAATTCCGTCGGGGGTGCGAGGGGTTCGTCTCAATCGAGAAGTTCGACTGACTGTGGGGGGCACGCGAGGCTTCCGAGCCATCCGGATCTATTTTCGGGACACTATTCCACCTCAAGAATAATCGTGTCATCCCTATCCGACTCGGAATTTCACAGAGAAAAAAATGAACGCCTCGAAGGGCGTGAGCTCTGATCTTCTGCCGACCCGCAGAAGTCGGTATGATTTTTCGCATTCTCGGTGCGTCTGGAATGATTACGTCGAATGCCTGAAGGGCTACGGGGTTCGATCCGTTCGAAAACGAGAGTTCTGGATATGAAAACGAGCGTTCGGTGCTCGAAACTTCCGTGTCCCGAACCCGGTTGTCAGACAGCCGGAAGGAACCGGGACATCGACAGCATGTACGGTGCTCCGTACAGCTCTTGAAAACTGGTTGTCAAAATCTTCAGCTCACCAGGAAAACGAGCAGAGGTTCGCTCAAAGACGGAGGTTGGGCTTCAGGTCCACAACACCTGCACTCTCTTTGCAGTAAGGTGTAATACTACACAATCGACCATTGAGTGAGTGGCAGCAGCAGCGGCGGCGGCAGGGACATCCAACTGGAAGAGCTCACGATGATGACGCGCTCTTTTGGCTCAAGCGCCGGGCGGTCCGATGAGCTGGTTGACAAGCAGAGATGCTCATCCTACAAACGGCGTTAGAAGAGCCGCCTGCTGATTGTTTCTTTCGTCTCTATCTCGTACGGGTTAAGCCGAAATTAGTTCCATCGCTCGCGAACAAAGTCCGAGGCTCGATGAGATTAGGCACCTTCCGGAAATAAACATTCAGTCCCGAAATATCTGTTGGCGCTAACCACAGCGCTACGCGGAAGAAGGTCAGTGGCCTGGTTAGTGAGCGACGTTTCTGAAGATGTCTGCTGCATAATACCACCCATGATATTCTGCTCTTGGTCGCTATGAAAGAGTTTTCTTCCATGGGTGCCGGGATATCTTCGGGAACGTTCCATCGAGCGCGGAAAGAACGGGCGAGCGAACGGCGAAGGTTAAATTCCCGCCTACGGTGCCTGGAAATGAGAACTTATGTCCTTGCGATAATCGTATGATTTCCGCAATTCTCATGGAGACTACAGCCTAGATGAGCTCGATACTATGCACGGATCGGAGAGAGGTTGAATGGGAGAAATCTTAAAATCGACCGTAGGCATTGACTCCCACGGAGATATTCATTCAGAATCTCCTGCGGCGTCCACCGAGTTATCCCCCTTCTGGACGCCTCGCTCGAGATCTGATCGGCTTGCGTATGACTCATGACGCTCTGCCGCTGTGCGCGTTGACCGGCGTGATAACTCCCGCCGAATCGGTCAGTGTCTCTCGAGCGAGAAAGTTACTCATTGGAGAGACGGGTACCGGCGCTCTCCCGCACCCGCTGTCATTGATATCACCAGCGTTCGCCCTTCCATCATCAGCCTTCCCTACATTGTATGGGGCCGGCCAGAAGTATCCGACGTGACGCCGCTCTTATGATATTCTCCGAGTGCCCGCTATGGATCTGACCCTTTCCATTCTTGACGGGATGATCCTGCATGTAGGGAGGACGGGATCGGACCACAATAATTATGAAGCGAAGTAGACCATAAGAAGGTACGAACTGACTCATAGGAAAACGTTCCGCTTTTATTATAGAAGGTGATGATCCCTCCGGAACCATACTCAGCTGCGAACAATTTTCGGATTTCTGACAAAACGTTCGAGGGAAAATCTCTCGTCATCGAGTCCGTTGACGCATATGCATACATGCATATGTCGATCCTCAATTCCAAGAATTCACACAATCCACGAATCCGGAGATTCAGAGGATACGACGGCGTTGATCACGGTAGATGAGGGAGAAGAAAGCGATTCATTGAGTTCAGGATGAGTCCTTCAATTGTCGAATTCCTCCTTTCTCTCTATGTCGAAGCGCTCCGTGTAGGGTTTCAATGTGGCCGGTCTCGGGAACGGTTTGACACCTATGTCGGAGCAAATCATCGTTAGCGTTTGCCGGATTGATCGTCTCGATGGATCAGAAAACACTTCGCTCATTACATCCACTGAGAATCCGATTTGGACGCATGGAGGAGCATCTTCGAGAAGGGCAACGAAAATTTCTTTTGCCCGAATCAATCCCGCAAGAACGTCTGATGACTGACCTTTGATGTAAACTTGTTTACCGCGTCGACAGTCACAGTATGGGCAGTGTCCCTCGGTCAGGACTCTCCTGCATTGAGTCCCACAGAAAATATCCGCGCACGAATCTGAACAAAAACAAGTCTTGCATCCTGTCTTGTCCTCGCGTAACTGGCAGTTGTTACCCAATCCTCTACAATCGGTGACCGGTTTGCATTCCTCCGCGAGGACGATCACCGCCAGGGATGCTTGGGGAAACAGAAGGAAGAAGCGTCGATTAATGTGATTTCAGCGAAGGCTACGTGGCTGATCGTGCAGATCGATGAGCCATCTCCGGTCTCTCAGAGAGGACGCGAGGCATTAAACTCGGTATTGAGCTCGAGCTCTATGAGGGGGTAATGATGGAGACCAACCTATGACAAAGAAGAGACTTTTCATCCTGCTCGACACTGCGTACTCTGTGGAACTGCTGCGACGAATCTATGATTTCTGTGGTCTGCGCACGAAGTTTCCTCTGATTCAGCTCGGTAATTCGGCGCTGACATCATATCCGAGGGGAAATTCGGGTAATTTGAACGCTGATGAGAGGAGGCAAAATCACAGCGTGATCCAAGTTCTGGTGATCGATGCTGCAACGAGGTACAGCAGATATTTCGGAGGATCCTCGTGATGATATGCAACATGAACAGACGGAATCATCTCTTGTTCATCAGAAGATTTCTGATTGCTCCAGTCGGCATTCTATACCGCCCAGATCTTAGATGGAACCCCACACCTTGATTGAATTCCTCCCAAAAGGCATTTATAATTATTTTACGATAATTTTTCCCGAGCTTGGGTTTCCGAGGGAGGAGCGTGCTTGAGGGATGTAGTTCGACATTCCAGGTGAGATCGGTAATCAATCATTCCGTGTAGGACTGTGAGGACTCCCATGTCTTTTTTTCGGGTCGCTTGACGGTCTACCATCCTCATCACGGCGCGGAGGTCCGGCTAGGACTAAGAACGGAATGGATCTACCTCCGTAAAAATGAGAGGATTGCGATATCTCAAGATGCATACATTAGGAATGCTGGCGAAGAGGAGCGTACAGGATCGCTGTTTTCCTCAGAGCGGTATTGCTTCCGAGATAGAATGTCAGTCAGCAGAGCTCGAAGACTGTGATGTGATGAGACTCGAAGTGATCCCCCGCGTGGAGTTGCCCGCACATTTCTCATAGGATGGACAATGCCTTCCCCTCAAGCCTCACAAATGATAATCTACCAGAATCTAGATCCGTGGTACATTTTCAACCGGATCGGGGAAGCTACACGAAGCGAGCGAGATATCGGAGAGGAGCGTGATTCGCACTGTCCTAGTGGATTTCCGGCATCCACCCCAGGCTCCAGAGCTCACTGCACGGTATCGGGAGCAGAGCTAGGGATGAGCCTCTCAACCTGTCAGAAATATTGCTACAGGGAGATCCTTGGTTTGGATGAGAGAGCGGCTACATCCGGGAAAAATCAAGTGCCCTGCGTTGGTTCGATCCTCCCGCTCTGAGTAGCCCTTTAGATAAGAGAGATCTGATGGTCGTGCCGGGCAATGCCCATTGTACTCGGAGAAGAACTGATTTCAACATATTATAATTTCAGGACGCTGTGAGAGGATCCTCGGATTAGTTCCGATCGCTATTCCGACAGTTCGCTCTGGAGGAGTACATCTCTGAATATCAATTGCCAGACGCAAATGGAGTGCGACGCGACGCCGGCTCGACGATCGAGCGGTCGTCGTTTAATGCCGAGTCCTCGTCTGCGAAGGTCCAACGAATGATCGGTGCTCGGAAGTCTCGGTGATGGTGACCCTGCAGGAACCTTGGTGACTACCTCGAAGGCTCACAGATCATCCCGTCTGATGAGCATCGGTGGGCCATTTGACTGACACAGCGATACGCTGCCTGCGAACGTCAAGGGAGATGTTCGATACGCTGTCCGGAGCGGGCTTTACCTGTTCCGGTGTTCGTCGCGAAGAACCGAGTTCCCGAGGAGGTCCCTCCCCCACAGGAGGAAAGGGGGCGCTGAATCTTCCAGATGTTCCCATGATCCCTTAGGAGGAGGGGATATCGTTGGATTTTCGCCTATCATCAGATTCCAGCTTCAGAAAAATGAGAGGACGCCCGATGTGTCTCACCACGTTCGCCTTCTCTCTGTCACGGTCCACCCAGATTTTGACTCGAACAAGCCTCGGAAGCTGTGAAAGAGTTGATTACGAGGACGTTCTGGAACCCAGCGAATTGTATCCTTGAGTCGACATCACATCTAGAAAGCAAGCATACAAGGTCTACAGGCCCCGTGGAGTATTGCGGTCCATTCCAGCCGCTTGGCTCTAGAAAATCTGGATTTGGAGGATATTTTGCGATTATCCACGGATTTGGTTGCGCAAGGAGGCTCATGGAGCTAGAGCTTGATGATCGGTTCAACCCGAAGTCATTTCCAGCACTCTACTCAGCGCTGAGAATCATTGCGGACGGCACCATGGAATTTCGCTCTCACAAAAACTTCGGGACGAGACATTCGTGCTGGCCGAATGGTAGATAGATCGAAAAAACAGGATCCTGGCAGTGGGGAATACGATGGAATCGAACTCAGTTCGAGAGCACCGGACGTGCTGGCGGAATCGGGCTCTCATCCCGGAGATTCGCGCAGGCGGTCTTTCTGAGCTCTGTGGGCGGAACTCCGACAATGTCCGGGTTCTCCGCCGCGAGGATTCTCGGAGTTGATTCTTGAGAGGGCTCCGCGCTCTCCGGAGACCTTCGAGGAGTTTCAAAAACCGCGCCGAGCTGGCTATCAGCGCCATGAGCCAATATGGCCGCCCTCTTGCTGGAGCCAGCCGTCAGACCCGTCCGGCGGAATCAGCAGGAATCCGATGCAGCACCAGCACACACACTCTGCAAGCCGTGTGTGTGCGTGCGGGAGAGTGTGTGTGTGTGTGTTCTAGTGCATTTAACAGTGGAAATCATGTTCGAAACCTATGTGAAACTCAACCGCTGATCTCATGTGAAAAATCACATTCCCGACTGGAGAATCGGAAGCGACGGTAATGATTCGCGACTCGCCAGCCGCCTCAAGTCTGCTGTCATGAAACCTGAGTTCTTTGACATATTTGAGGACCCCTCTGATGTGGCTCTTTAGCGCGCTCTGAACAGATGACAGAGCAGAGACTCTTCCGAGTTCCCCATTCCCGTTCTTGCGGGAAATTCTCTGTGACAGTTGTTCCGGACACGAATGGTTTGACACTTGGTTTCCTCGTCTCTGATCAGAGAATAGAATCGAACGAAAAGACAAAATCAGGAAGAACGTCTGCTCGTCCGACGGAAGGATCTGAGCTCGGGGGAATCAGGAGCCTGGGCCCCGAGAAGGGGAACCCTGGATCGAGGTCTCAATTTCTCAAATCGATTGTAGACTGCAAACCCTGCAAAGGAGTATGTCGAGCCAACGTTCGTCGCCGTTCCTGTCGTCTTCCCTTTCGATCCGGCAAGAGATCGATAGATTCGAATCGGTTCATCCGTCGATATACGCCATCTACGACCTTATCGAAGCTCTGAACGACCAGTTCATCTCGCAGCAAGTCCGCGAACACGTCGTCTGTATCGAAGGTGAGCAAGCCCATTGCACACGATAGTCCGGATGCCCCTTCCTTGGCCACGTCTTTTTCTTAACTTGTTTTTTGCTGTGACCACTGCCACACAGATTGTGACGCTCCTTATCCCTCAGCTCGCTCATGGCAGGATCTCCTCAATCAGCATTGTGGCCGTTTTTATTGAGAGCACTCATTCCCCGTTGAGAATACGCACCAGCAGACACTGAGTGTATCGAGGACCCTGTCAGAGTCTCCAATCCGCGGTCAATCCGTTCGCGGATATTATTAGTCGTGGTTTCCTTGGCTCCTCCACAGGCTTCCGCCCGAAGAGACCGATCGATTCACTTCGATTTACTCTGTCGTTCCGGAGCCCACGGCAAGTGAGACGTAGAGCCTGAAGAGCTACTGTGGAGCCCCGTTATAAAGGACTCCATGGAATCGGCCAAAACGGTCCGTTATATCCAAAGTCCGTTATATCCGCACACCTGCTCCGAGAGGCCCAGAATGAATCAGAAGAGCTACTTGAATGCACCCACGACCCTGTCTTCCACCAGAATGAATACGCGTGACTGATTGTGACAAGAATCTCATCCTTCATTACTTCCGAAGAAGTTTCCGTCTCGCAAGAATAGGTCCGCTATAAGCGAGCTCAATAAAACGGGACGAGATAGAATCGGGGCCAGAGAATTAGTTCGTTGTATCCGAGTGTGTGTAATTGTGTCCCTCACAAGCGAATCAGTTTAGGGGGGAGGTCCCGATGGCTCGGCCGGGACCGAGCTATCGGTCCGTTAAAAGCGTGTGCCCGTTATAACGGGTTCCAACTGTAGTTCGCTCACGGTTATTCAATCAGAACAGCTGGATGGGACTGAGGTCCACGCAGCGCAGGATATTCTGGAGGGGAGACGATCTTCCCCGAATCTCTTGGCTGAATGAATATTTTGATACATCTGCTGCCTGAATGGAAGAGGTACCGTTTCCAGCTCCCTGACAACTCCTGTCGAAGGTTCTCCTGAATCGGGAAGCCTAGTGTCGAAGCCTAGTTTCTGGGGAAATCCGATTCCGATGAAAGCTGACGCGTATCGTCCTCCTCTGTTTCCATGTTGAGTCTTCGCTGGAATGTTCTTCGTCGTTATTTCTGTTTTCCCTCCACGACGATAACAGTTCGCTGCCACTGGAACAGGTTCCGTCGTCGCAGTACCGCAACCGTGTCTCAACTGTTGCAAGTACGCTCGCCCCGGCGGTCCGTTGGTAGCTGCGCGAAATTCTTAACATCGATCGACCGCCGGAATATGTTCAACTCTGGAAAACAGCTCGCTATGGTCGAGCTTTAAATCGTCGCCTAATCCTATTCTCCTCATGTGGCATCAGCATATCTTGTGTCAAGATATTTTCGAGCCATCGACCGCTCGAGGAGCGCTAATTCAATTGAGAAAACTGTCGCTTTCTCTCTCTGCATGGAGGAGTTCCGGTCCAAGTTGTGACGGAGTTTTCTTCAACTCAGCCCTACTCGATTTATCCGACGAGTTTGGTTTACCGAAGTTCAATTCTTGTTTGTATGCTAATGGCACCCTATTGTCCAGTTCGACTCGTGCGAATGGGTGTGAACAGCGCATTGTGGTGCTCAACAAAGAGAAGCACTCTGGACGGGCGTTCGGCGTTGCTCATGAATGGATTGTGGGTTCTTATACAGAAATCTTATTTCTGCTCCACAGATGCTTTCGTCAACAGTCCAGAGTGGACTCTTAGCAGGAATGTTCCAGACATCCGACTGGTGAGTATTCTCGCAAAAAGTCTCGGCCTTAACTCTTCTACTCGCCAAATAATATTATTCGTCTCCTCGGACGGTGTATTCCGACGGCAAATCTTCCGGGAGCTCCGAAGTTGACGGTGGAATTGCGAACAATCGCTACACCGCAGCGTTTACGGATTTCGCCCCGAGCCCGCTCGGATTGTTTTCCTTCCGGATGGAAGACTTTTAGCAATCTATTTTTCTAACTAAGTAACAACGAGGAGCGCGACTCCTCCCAGAGCTTTACTGCATCATGAGTCAGGAGCTGATGCCAGAAGCCCGTATGCTTTCCGTGTACAACTTACTCTGGGCAACGCTGCGCCATATGCCTAATGTGAATAAAGGATGGGGCAGAGAGTAATTTTTCATTGCTGGATGGAGGCGGGCGCTTGCTTTCCGTTTGCGTTCCGTTGGGATCCATTAGGGGAGTAAGCGAACCCGAACCACCATTTCCCGCTCAGGCTGCTCACCTGGTGAGAGCCCGACACTCCGACGCCTGGCGAAGTTGTCGAATCGATATTCCGATGGTTCAAGGACTCGCAAACTTGACTCGTCTGCAGTAATAAATCGATCTCCTTTCTGAAAGCGACTCTATTCCAGGGTGTTCTCGGAAGTCTCAGCAGCGGGAAATCTTCTCTCGTTCACAGGTACTTGACGGGTTCTTACATCCAGGAGGAATCTCCCGAAGGTGAGTCGGCGATCGTTTTCCGTTACTTTAGGGGATCGGGCAACTGGGACCTGGGACTTAATCCTAGGGAGTCGGCCAGAAGACTCCATCCGGATGGAGTGGAATGAAATTGCGAGGGACAACTTGGTTGCTCACTGGATTGATTTCATATTCAGGCGGTCGCTTCAAAAAGGAGATCTCCGTGGACGGTTCGAGCTATTTGATGATGATTCGAGACGAGGCTGGCGCTCCCGAATGGCAGTTCGCACAATGGGTGGACGCCGTACTGCTGGTTTTCTCTTTGGAGAACGAAGTTTCCTTCCAAGAAATTCTTTCGTTCTACAAAAAAATGAGAAACTTCCGCATGGACGTCCCCGTCATACTGATCGGAACGCAAGGTCAGAGCCGACGTTTAAGCGAACTCGAAGGGTCTCGTCGCCGAGGCAAAAAAGCTCATTCACGATGACGGCCAAGCCTCATTCCGCGGAGAAACTAATGAATCCTTTGCCCCCATCAGACGCTATTAGTGAGAATAATCCGCGGAAAATAACGGATCAGCGAGCGCGCAAGCTGGCTCAGGAACTCGGCAACTGCGCCTACTACGAAACGTGCGCAACTTATGGACTCAACGTGGAAAAGGTGATTTTCCCCCCTGGATGAAGTCGCGTTCCAGTATCGCGACCATACATAGAGCGAGCAGTAGATCCTGCTGGGCTTGTCGAGTGGCGAAGAGGGCGGCGGGACATTCTTATCATCGAAGCACATCGACACCTCGAACTCGCCGTGTTCCAAAATCTACTGAGCACCGCTCAGTCAGTGTTTCTGCGGATTCCGGAGCGGAGCTTAAACATGAGTCCATCGTTGAAACAGGTGTTTTCTGAAGTTTGCCATCGTCTGGTGGCCGAGAGCAGCTATCGGAACTCAACGTTGACGTCATCGTCTTCAACCGCAGCCCTGCCGACGGATCAACCCACAAGCTTTTTTAGTGCCACAACCGCGGAGCGTTCGACTCTGTCGAGCGATCGGAAACTCTCCGACCCGCAGCCCCTTCGCAACGGCTCGGACACTACGATCAAAACCGAAGCTTCTATAATCCCGCTGTCGCTGAGTCCGGGCCCGAAAACCGATTCCAAGCTGAGTCTTGTCACAGATAAGACTCCGGTGGGGACCCCGAACGCTGCGCGGAAGAATAAACGTCGGTCGAATCTTTTTGTGAGTACGAGGAGCTCGGCCCCTGGGCGCCACAAAGTTTTGATTTGCATGGCCGGGGGCTCGGAGTCGAGTTTCCTAATGAATGATTCCTTTTCCCGATCCAGAGCAAGGACAAGGAAAAGGACAAGGTGACCAAAGCCAATGGTCAGGAGTACGGGGTTGGACGATCGATACCGGTGAAACAAGGCTACCTACTCAAACGTTCTCTCAAAGGCCTAGCGAAGGAGTCGAAGAAGAAGAAATATGTCACCTTGACGAAAGACGGGCGACTCACATATCACGCCACAATTCATGATTACATGAACAATCACAACGGCAAAGAAATCGAACTCATGCAGACCACAGTGAAAATCCCCGGACAGAATCCTCGGGGATGTCAAAACCGGGTGATTCCCAACACAAACCCGATGCTCTCGACGAAAGAGACACCTCTGAACAAGAAACGGAGCCACCACAAACGGATGAAGTCTGGAGGGAGCTCGAAGATGCTCGACGACACCTCGTTGACGTCGGAGGAACTCGATTTCATGTTGATCTCAGTAAGCTGTAAAACCTGGCGCTTCGAAGCTGCCACCACTCAGGAACGCGACGAATGGGTCACAGCCATAGAAGAATTGATTCTGAACTCTCTGCAAGCATGCGAGTCGGCCAAGGGCGGTGCCGACGACGATGTGCAGGGACAAGCGATTAACGCTCTCAAGTACCAAGTCGCTGGGAACAAGCACTGCGTCGATTGCGATGCCCCGAATCCGGATTGGGCATCCGTTAATCACGGTGCGCTCATGTGTATAACGTGTTCGGGTATTCATAGAAACCTGGGCTCGCATATCTCACGGGTCCGCTCGCTGAATCTCGACGACTGGAGCGCTGAGCAGCTCAGCGTTATGGCTGCCATCGGGAACACTATGGCAAATACCATCTGGGAGTCGAACACGAAAGAGGAAGGCAAACCCACTCCTAATTCGAGCAGGTACGCACCTACGTTTTTCTTGAAATAAGTATCTGCGTTCGCCGTACTTCTCAGCGAGGCTCACTAACTTATGCTCATCACGGAATCGCAGAGTATTACGCTCCCATCACTCGTAGGAATCGAGATCGAATCGACGTCTTGATTTGCAGGGAGGAAAAGGAACGATGGATACGTGCCAAGTACCTGGACAAAGAATTCTTGAAAAACCTACCTCGAAGTGTACCTCAAAGAACGCCACTCACTTATCTGGTTGACGGTATCGAAAGTGGAGATGTTGCCAGGGTGTTACTGGCCTTGGCTCATGGAGCAAACGTTGACGTCTCCGTCGTAGAAGGACGAACCCCTGTGCACCTGGCTGTCGCTCGAGGGAACACAGCTATAGTCCAGCTGATGCTCATGGTGAGTTCTTTCGCGATTGGACCACGACTTTTAGAAAAAAATCGGAAGGGTATCTTTCACTGTCGATTCTCCGCGGGTCTAGTTCCTCAATCGGAAATTCTTCGCAGGCGAGTGGCCGTGAGAGTTCGTGCAAGGATGGAGTATTGAAAGAAGTTCAGGAACGCAAGGTCTAACAACCGGGAAGATCTTCATTAGGATTTAGCCTACGCGCAAAAAACTCATTCGATTGATGCCTGTAAATAAAGTTGTATGTATTGAACAATGCTGGAGAGCGGAAACGGAAGATCTGTACCATACGAGCCATGAGCTTTTTAGGCTAGCGATATAATGCAAAGCAATAGACGTCCAGGCGTCGAGTGTGCGGGATGATAGTACCCGCAGGTTCAGGACCACATATTTTTCCAATAAATTAATTCGTAGTACCTATCTACTGCGGAAGTTTATTGAGTCAGCAGAGTATTCGTCTTCCATCGCTTCTCGTTTGATTGAGAATGCGTCGATATGGTCCGTGAAGTCGGGACTCAGGTCAGTCGCGCGATTCCCCCTTGTTGCGTTTTCCTCTTTCGTTGCGAGAATCCTCTCTCGGATTGATCCTCTATAATCCAGTGGAACGCTATCGACAACGTTGGCTTAAGTAGATCTCTCTGAATATCCTACGGAGGCGGGGAGAGGGTAAGTAGATTACGGAACGGGATTGGATCAGATCAGCGAAGATGGGATTTGAGAGAGCTCAATGCATCGGGTCCGCTGGACATCTCCCAGAGCAGACCTCGGTCAAGGAATCCAATTTTCGACAGAGCTAAACCGGGATCCATCATCAGTATCGCTAATTCCTTCGCGGATCCTCGGAATTTGTTCTTCGAGTCTCATTGAGTTCTTATCAAGTGGAGCTCTGACGAAGAAGATTTGAGACTGAGAATCGACCTCACCGAGACATGAGTCGGTGAAGCCTGTCCTCATGTCGTAACCCAGAATATGAATAATTGAAGACGATGGTCCTCAATGGACTAGCTTCGGGGTGCTGGGCCAGGGGAAGTGGTCAGAGAATGACCGTTGAGTTTTCTTCTCCTTCACTTTATTATAACACTGTTTACAATATGTCCTTTATCAAAGAATATATCCAAAACAACTAATTTTTTCCGGTCGATCAGGACCTGGAGATTCTGGAATATAGACTCCCGGGCTTCGTTTGAGAATCTCTCAATTCAGGCTCCCTTGGAGTGACCCCAGCGCTTGAAGTTTTCCTCTGCGAATTTTGTAGAATCTGTTCCGTTGCACCTGCCCCTATCGTGAATCCCAAACCTAGGACCAATTTGATTGAAAAGCATTTTACTGAACTGCCCGGAGTCTCCAGCACCGTCGGCACAAGGAGCATTTAAACCTTGAAGTCATCAGGGTCATTGGAACGATACACTACACGCAGCTCAATTGACGCTAGAGAAGCAGCGATCTGTGTTTAAGATTGTTCCTATCACATATGTTCCTCCCCTTCTCTCTCCGTTGCTTAGCTAAAATTCGAGCCGCACGAGGTCTTCTCCCTAAAAAATGATATCGATCTCCTCCGACACCTCTTCATCGATCGTCTATCACTGAAAGACCTGCGCACGGGTATTTGAGGGACAACTCGATGTCCGGGAACTGCTTGTCTGGCTGTGATTGCAGGACAGGACCACTCGATCCGCTTCATAAAAAATTAGTATTTGCTTGTGTGTAATCTCTCTGTAAAGGCGCGCGAGGTGCGAACAGTGATCGGTGCGCGTCGTTTCAGATACCTTAACAAGCGGATCCCGTGATCGGTCGTTTTAAAATGTGTCGATTCTGAAACTGAAGTCCACGTACTACAACGCTCGATTGGCGATCCGGAGTCCGAGCGATTGAGCTCTTCCTTAGTATGTGACGATCGGGTCCGAATGATCGACTTCGTGGCATTCGCCTTTGGTGAGTCTCTTCATAGCCATTTCCGTGATTCCATGATAGTGGACGAAGGCTGCTGCGATCACCAGGATGTGGAACAGCTGATGGCTGTGGAACTGCAATGGGACGCAGAGAGTCAGTTGACGGAATAACCTGAAGAGTCTCGCGCCTCGCATCGGGATTCTACCCCCGAGATAGAAATGAGATGAAATCGGAGAGAATAAAAAAAAAAGGTAATGACATGCAAGGACTCACCAATAGATCACATTTGCCGGGGAACCATCTTTCGGGGACCCGAAGCGCGTAGAGCGCCGCCCCGAAAATGTAGAGAAGACCCATCAAGACGAGCCAGCCAAAGGAGGCGTTATAAAATGCCGAGAGGAAACCTTCCATGTAAATGTAGTGCACAGCGGGGACGATTCCACTGAGCCCAAAACCCGCGAACACACCTGCAATAAGCAAGGGATGAGCGTCAACTTTCGTGAACAGTTTGTGTCCGACCTCGTGTAAATTCCAGTGGGCTTGGATATCGAACTCCGAATTTTAGAACAAGTAAGACAAGGGCTCAGACCATCGACGAACCGAGTCCTCCTGATTCTATAACGATCGCCCCTATGGCATCTCCCCATTCCGGACGCAGTTGCTTGAGACAGGATACTCTAGTCCAGACCGGGGGAATGACCCAATTTTTTTTCCAATTCTCTCATGCGATGTCGAGCCATGCAAGCAATGTTCCATTGAAAGAATGGCAACAAGTCCCCCGATCCGCTCGAGTGTTCGCTCTCTATGCGAGAATCCAGGGAGAGAGAGCGTCATCCACGCCCTTCAGCGCGGATGTCAATGACCTTTTACACGAGCTCTCCATTCGGGATTGCGGAGTCGACGAAGCGCTGTACCGAACTTTTCCCCTTGTAAATAAGAAGATGGAAACTCACCCGCGCGCAAAGGCCGGTATTTCGGAGTGCCGAATTTGTCCCATAGGGAAACAATTACGGCTGCAATTCCGAGCACGATGACCACGGTGAGGTAGATGAGCTTTGGTTGGAAGTCGCAATAGAAGCCATAATACAACCAAGGGACGAACGAACCAATTATGAGTAAAGCGATCCCGCAATAGTCGAATCTGTAAAGAATGCATCCGTCACACTTTGATTCGATGATCAAGCGATAAAAGCGATCTCCTTGAGGAATCCTATAGGTCGTGGTCCTTTGGAAGTCGATTCCACCATCACAAGAATTCGTTGACGCACGATTATCAATAGGCGTCTGGAAATTTCATCATCGATCTGTTCTCGAATTCTAGGATATATTCTGCTCTATTTGGATAGGATATCATTGGTGTGATTGTCGAAGCATCTCGGCGCTGAGACGGACGCTCCATGACCTTGAAACACATATGGTATACTGAGATATCGAAAGTTCTGCTAGAATCACGACCGCGCGTCCCTCCAGACTCTTTCGCGAATCGAACGGAAGGTGAGTCGGTCGGTCGGTCAACAGACCGGAGTCAAAACGAGCAGTTTTCCCCCATCAAGCGTTGGAGAAGCTCCTATCGAGCATGAAGATCCAACCTTGATCGCTCACCATCAGATTGCGGGGATCTCTGTGAACCATGTATGGTACGGGCAGTCACATAAATAGTCTCTTCTCAGCAGAGTTCTCAGCAAACTCGCCTCGAGATAAGCTGAGTCTCGCGTGATGGCTTGTAGATCACAGAGCTACACCACCCTGCTACGTGGGCCGTGGATATCCCCAAGGCGATACGGAGAGCGTATGTTTCCGCAAAAAAAACAGAATCCTTTTCGAAACCGCTCAGAGTATCAGCAACTCGCGATCGGAATGTCGATCCTTATCAAGACATCCGAGATAATAATCTTTTCGCAGCTGGTCTTGGCCAAACGCGTATCTCGAAATCTATTTTCGGGAGAGGGTATTTCCCCGCGTCCACGCAATTCGCACCCGATCCAAGATCATGATCCTGCCGAGAGACTCCCGAACGTCTGAAATTTCGAACGACTCACGAATTGCACTTACTTTGAAAACAGTCTGCCAACTTGTTCCGAATGACAGGATACCGTATGATAGGTGAAACTCATCCCCATGCAGAGGATAGCTCCGAGGAAGAAAGTGGCGAACACGAGTTTTTCTTGCCACTGGATCCAGTCGGAGGGCTGGACGACGAAATAGATCGCGATACCCAGGAACCACAGGCAACCTAGTAGATGCGTCCAAATGTTTCCGGTTTCTGTGTGGATACGGAAGATGGAACGGAAGCAAGCCGAAAACGAAGGTAGTGGAGGCCGGTGTCCCCGATGAAGAAAGTCGTTGTCTTGCAGCCACTGTGGCAGTGAGCTGAAGTGACAGACCTTCCACGCCTCCTCGAGTACCTTGAGAACGAGTTGTTCCGCCTGTTCTGCCTCGTCGAGAACCTTACGCATAAGCTGCTCCGCCTGATCAGCCGCTCTCTGCGGAAGGCTCAAGGTATCCAGATCTTCGCCGACGATGTTTTCTGAGTCGATGTTTGTCTCTTCGTCTGGAACGAAACGAAGAGATGCTCAGAACGATGATGCGCCGGTCGCCGCTCCGTATCCGTGACTCGTTCGATTTTCCTGAATCTCTGGAATCAAGCTCACCCGATGCACCGTCTTGGGGCGTCCCCGGTGGCGCGAACACGTGCGGGTCCGATAGACAGCTGACGGTGTCGTCGAACATGCCCAGGTCGGCATCGAGATCGTTATTCAACACCGGTCTTCGTCGTATCTCCATCTCCTCGCTCTCGCGGCGTTCTGAGGCGCTGCGCACGAATCGAGACATCGCGATACCTTCGTTGGATTTTCGTATATCTGGAAAATGAGCGGGAATCGTAGTCTCGGGTAAGGAGCTTTCGATCGATCATCTTCGAAGGCTGTGTCGAGGATCACTCGAGTGGAACGGGACACGTTTCGAATTAGCGCTTAGGAGGATCGGAATCCATCTCTCGGTCAGAATGACGTTCCGCTCAAGCTCATGTCGCTGATAGACTAGGGAATACGAGAATGACTACCTCAGATACGAGGTACCGAACATGCCCGGGCCGCGGCTCGGCCGCGAGGTCCCGACTAATGTCCCGAGCCAACAATCGACAGCGCAAGCTAATTGAGTTTGCTTCATCGGAAAGTTCGGAAACGAATCGAGTGACATCCGATATCCAAGGCTCCGCCTACTTTCGCGGCGCGGCGGATGCAGAAAATGCTGCACAGGTTGGAGGAATCGGCGCACTGGATTAAATGGAAATCATTCTTCCGCGCTGCCTGTTCTTGGATGCTTCGCTTCCCGACTGGGCCAGTTTCAGATGAGCCCAGTCAACAGGATCCCGATTTCCGCCGTTCTCTCGTTTGCGGCTAGAATCAACGCGTTCGTTTGTCGAGAGCAATAATTAAACATACGCGTCTCATCACTCTATGGAGCCCATCTGTTGGCCAACGATTTCCCCTATTTCGAGTCCGAATTCTGACCCACGTCAGCTGACCCTCGAAAAACTAAGGACCTACTTAGTCGACTGACTGCCGGCGAGAATAGCAGCTCTCTGACGGATTGTTGGTGTCCGTCGTATAAGCTGCCAACAGCTTCAATAATATAATTATTCCGGCTTTCCAGATGTGCATCAACAATTTTGAATTCTTACAGCCTCAGCGGTGTGTGTGGCTTCGCTGACGGAAGAGTAATTCTAGGAAATCTTTGAAGAACTCACGATGAGCAGCCACTAGACCGATGCCATATCATAAGATCATGGGACTCGCTGAGCGCTGTATGTCTGAAAGACTACAGCTGAGCGAGTTGGATCGGATATCCCATCCGACAAAACAGAGTCTTTATCGTCTGACAGTCGAGCGTGAGCAAGACGAATGGTCCCTCAATGGGAATCCCCACTACTTCCAAAAATTGGGCAATCAATATCGCAGAGACCCCAGATCGATCCCATTTTGTCTTGACAGTGCGAGCCTCCCCCTAAAGGCGCAAGGTAACTCCATGCTCGCATGGAGACGAGGACGCGAGTTTCCGCAGATCGACAGTGGGGAGCGAACGATCGAGGTAATTACCCAGTGACCGGAAACCGACGAATTCCCGGTTCCTTCCGATTGTCAGAACGAATTGCAAGAGTCTTTCACTACCATCGGCTGTTATCGAATGCTTTGTAGGTACAAACGAATGTCACGCGATCTCGAGCGGAAGTCGAGAGCCCGGAGACAGCATACTGTCCTTATCTGTCGGATGCTCCCAAGTGGATGGAACTCATCCAAATCCACGCCTGCTTGAAATGCCGCTCTTGCGGCAGCAGGTACTATCTTTGCCAAGGGCTATGACGTAACAATCCCGGAGAATGCACGCTGGCATTGTTGACGTACATGACAACGCGAGCCGCAGCTCTGTTGAAACAAACTCACCAGAGTTCAATCATGGAAGAAGTTCAAACGAGGCTCGAACTCAAAGAGCCCTCGTTGCCGTCGTTCGCACTTGATTGAGAAGTAGCTCTCACACTGCCATTTGTCGTTCATGGATCCACACACCACTACCACCAGCACCACCACAAGACAGCTGAGGGACGGAGAGAAAGGAGGTGGACGGGAGGACCGCCCCGGCGCGAAATTTGAATCTTTTCTCCTCAGCCCGGACTCACTACTACGCATCGGCTACGATTATTATCATTCATCTGCAACAACTCCGCGAGCTTATCACCTCCCTATATGCATCCCATCCAGAATGGGACGGGCTTTCCTTACGCGGCGAGGGAATGCACTGGAGCCAAGATTCGGGAGCTGTGCAGGGTTTGAAGGCGCTGTTGGCTTACGGCGAGGCGATAGGGCTCTGCTAATAGCATATCTTGGAGGTGTCGATGATGTTTTCCCTCCACGGGTTTCCAAATACGTTGATCTTCACAGGTAAAATTCCATGACGATTCCCTCATTTTCTACCTGCATACCGTGAGGGGGAATACCATCGAAATTCCGAATATTCCGAGGACGGTGTCAGGAGAGACAAGGCGGATCGATTCGACTACACAGGAGAAGACGAATCATTGAGACCGATCGCACGGACCCATCTGACTAGTTCACCAGAAACCGCTTAGGCAACCGAGCCGATCACTCGCAGAACGAATTCTTCCCCAATCATGACAATAATTCGATGATCATGGTCACTATGCGCACCGATCGAGCCCCTCCGAGATTCGAATTTTGGCGCGCCACAGGCTCTGCTGTGGCTGTCTTCATTTCGAAACCACCACTGGCTCTTTCTTTTCCGGTGGCCAGCAAACCTGCGGTGTGTGTTTCAACGTTCTTAGAAATTATCCGTTCAAATCTACGTTATTATGAGATAATTCGTGAGAATTGCTTTTAGTGAATATCGTCCGGAGTCACGAGATCAGCTCGGGCTCAAGAAGAGAGCACTTGGAGGGGTGTCTTGTCACGAAACCGAAGCCTCACTCCGTATGTGTGTTCTAAACAGTGGTGTTCCTCCCTGAATTACAGAAAATGACCAAGCTCAGGCCGGCTACGTCGATGAAAATCGTCAAGAAGAGGACGAAGAGGTTTACTCGTCACCAGAGTGATCGATACGGAAGACTGTCGGTGAGTTGAGAGCAAATGCTCGCGAGTATTGCTCAGGAGCTTGGTTTGTTTTGAAAAGCCACGTGAAAGTGTATGCAGGAAACTCGTTGCGACCAATGGAGCTCTCGATACGAAGTTCTTCGAGGCATCCGGATATCTCGAGTTCTCGCTCGCTCTGAGTCGCCGAAAAGATCTGAGAGCGGGCAGTTCCGACATCCGGCGGTATCGAACTTCATGGTCCATCGGGCATCCTGGAGCACCGTGCCCGGCTGAGGGACCGGCACCGCAATCATAGAGCCTGCGTATCGTAGACGATTGACTCGTGAAGGCTACGAATTGTATACATTTGATTATGATATGACATGATCCGGTTGCGTCTAATGACGTTTCCATGACGATCGTATGGGCTCCTCCGATCAGATCGCAAGGGAGATTCATATTGACACGACGCTCACACATGATCTTCGCCTTCCAGAACAAATGGCGCAAGCCCAAGGGTATCGACAACCGAGTCCGTAGGCGATTCAAGGGACAGTACCTCATGCCCAACTGCGGTTACGGATCTAACAAGAAGACCCGCCACATGCTCCAGAACGGTTTCCGCAAAGTCACCGTCAACAATCTGAAAGAGCTCGAAATGCTCATGATGACCAACAAGCGTTATTGTGCCGAGATCGCACACACCGTTTCTGCGAAGAAACGCAAGGAGCTCGTCGAGAGAGCTCGCCAACTCTCCATCCTGGTCACCAACAGGCACGCGAAGCTCCGTCAAGAAGAGACTGAATAAAGTGCTTCGGTTGTGTGTGATGTATGTCCGAGAATTCTCTTTTCCTTAGCCGAATTCCACCATCGGTCTCCACGCTCGGAGAAGAGCGGGGTCTCGAGTAGCCCGCTCGTGTAGGATTCGTGGTCATGAAGCTTTGCTAGCGGCTTTTCCGTGGTGTTAAGTGACTTTACGCCACCTTGATCGTTCGGGAAGCCCAAGCTGCTGCTCTCAACACCGATTAGCGACATGCCATGTCCCCTCGCGTGCCGCCTTCACCTCTTGGAGATTTCTAACTAAGTCAGTGTCTCTTGCACCGTTGCTACCTCGTGCCCAGAAGGAATTTCGATCCAGAATCCGCAGGAATCCCGGACCGTCGAAGTCCCGCTTGCAAGGCGATGACAACGATTATCTCATTCGTGTACGATTCCATGACGTCAGGTACCGGCGAGATCCTGATGTTTCCGATTTGTCTAACGCCAGATAGATAGCATCCAACACGGGAAACGCACGTCGGAGAAGTTCGCGGACGCTAGAGCGTGATCGAAGTATGCGATAATTGCAGAGAACGGTGCGCAGTCCGTCGGTTCACGTCTGGGCGTGAGAAGCCCCGTTCCAGAAGGCCATTGTGTGATAGGAGAAATCAAGGAGATATTGATCAAATTGCTCTGCTGCTATCGGCGCTCCCCAGGAGAACTCTCACCTTTTTCCCCTGAGCCTAACCGGCAGAGTTTCTCTCGCGCGATTTCCGGACGTCGAGCGATTCAACATGGAGCAACTCCCCATACCTATGATTGAAAGTCCACGAACATGGCAGGATGGAGACCTCGCTCATATCCCGCAAAATAAGGGGCTCCGCTCCGTCAGCTCTGGAGCACCTCAGGTCCTGCCGTCGGAGTTCAGACATTCCCAATTTCCTTCGATCTCCGACGCATCACTACGACGCGTCGAAAGACTAGCTCATGAGCACCATGTTCTGCGGCGGGGAATTTCTTAAGCACAGCAAAAAATGTCACGGACATAAGTGGGTGCATGGGACATGAATCAGGCGATAGATCCCGAAAGTTTCCATTCGTCATGAAGAGGCGCACCGCGTGAAAGACGGGATGAAGTCCGAAGAGCTTATAGAGCGGAACTTTTGAATTTCTCGAACAGCCCGGGATTTCCTGTAGCTAATCTTCGGAAAGCCGGTTCAAGCTTGATCCGAGTTTTAGTGAGTTTTGTTAGGCCTACATCAACATGGCAGAGTGAGTGCTTCAGGAACGTTCTCTATAAGCGAATCGAAGGAGAGGTGAGCTTCTGATCAATTGCATGCGAACGGACAGCTCTGAAAAAATCGCGACGAGCCAAATGAATTCGAGCGCAAAAAAGTTACCATCCGTATATACAAGCTTGGTCTGGTGTTACCGTGTGCGGGGGGCTACATTTACCGAACGACGGTGGTATATACTTCTACAATAGATATCGAGCAACAACACAGACACAACAAGGTGCTTGGGGACATCGCGAACCAGTGAGGAGTGAGGAGCATTGTTCCGTGTTGAGGTGTCAGACTTCGGCAGGATGGCCTTGTCGCGGATGGCCTCTATGCGGCTGTTGGGCTCCGCTTCGAAGAGTGTGCTCATACCGAAGCACAAGGTCGAAATGTCGGCCGCGCTCATCAGACTGATATCGTCTTCGGAAAAGAAAACCTCGTCCGCCGTGGCGAATCGATCTTTCGGGCGTAGCGAAGAGATGCCACCGAACGAAATCGCAAATCCTCCACGAACCCCGGAGGATTTCATCGACGCCGTGAAGAAACCCCGAAACTGGATCAGCTATGGTTACAGCTACTATGACAAAGAGAGGGACGCTGATGTATACCACGCGACGATGTTCTTCCTTGTGTCGCTCATGGTCGTGGTCGGCTCCGCTTGGATCGCTTACCTGCCGGATTGGCGTCAACAGGATTGGGCGCTTCGGGAAGCCTACCTAGAACTCGCGCGACGCGAGAAATACGGACTGCCTTTGGTGGACAAGGATTTGGTTCCTGTCGACAGAATCAATCTGCCGTCGGAAGAGTTCCTTTACGAGGAAGGACACGAAGTTTACCTGTAGTTGACTGCGCAAGGAGAGTGATCATATGATAATATTAATAAAATGCAATGAGCACACCATGTTTACCTCGTGCGTCTTCATTCCCATTGAGCGCGCGCCGCGATAAGCCCTGCCATGTCGGAGCTCGTCATAAGTTTCGCATTGATCTCTCCTTCGATTCGACTCTTTCCAATGATGATAATTTTCTCCCTTAGCTACTGCCAACGATTCGGCTTCCCGATTAACAGTATTGAAAATTCAGAATGCAGGCTGGAGTCATCGAGGAAGTGCCTCTCGATGAGGTTCAGACCATTGAACAGGACATCGATATCCAGGAGATGGAGGACGAACAATATGGAGGAATCGACGCCAACGAGGTCAATTCGGAATCGAAAATGTACAGGAGCTTCAAATGCCACATCTGCAAGGTTTACTTCACCAGACTCCACACTCTGAAATCTCACATATCAACCAATCACCCGGAGCTGGATTGGAATGATCTCTACCGTACGACGACATTCAAATGTGGAGAAGGGGACTGCAAGTACATCGGGAAAACAAGAACCGATCTGCTCGGACATTTGTATCAGGAGCACGATTTTCTCCTGCATAAGGTAGAGGGCGAGTTTCTCTCCACTGAGGATTTCACGGTTTTCTTTGAGAAGCTGCAAAAGGTGAGCCAAGGGATGCTCAATGTCTAAATCAAGAGATGTTCAATTCTCAAAGCGCTCCGCCATAAGCTTCGCTCCCGAATTCCGCCGGTTGCCGTTAATGCTACCACTGTAACGAAGGAATAACTGCAGGTCCACAAGGTTCGGTTTGTGAAGAAGAGGGGAAAGTCACTGGAATCGGCTACGCAGTACTTTGTCTGCAGTAGAGATGGCTACGTGAAAACAGGGCGTGCCATCAAGTTCGGGGGTAATTTCGTCCGGAAGAGGAATACCAGCTCGCATAAAATCGGAACATTCTGCACAGCTCACGTCTCCGTCCGCAGCTGTCCAGATGGTAAGGCTTCACGCTCCCGCTCTTCGACCCTGTTCTGAGATAAGCATCAAAGGGAAATTCAACTCATCCACCGTTCCCCAGCCTACCATGACCCCCCTCCCCCTTTCGCAGGCCGTATCACCATCGAAGGCTTCACCACTCATTATAACCACGCGATCGAGGGAAAGAGATTAGCACTTCTCGACAGTGAGAGGAAATTTATCAAATACCACGCTCAGCGGGGAAAATCAATACGAGACATAATTGAGCTCATACACCACACGATCGGGGCGAATGTCGCTGAGGACGATCCCCTCAGATTCCTAAACGCGAGGACCGTGCGAAACGTTGTGAATTCGGTTTCGGTGAGTAGCAGATTGCGTCCAAAAGGCCGGGAATGTACTGAATCACTGATCATGAACAGTTTCCGATACCTAAAAGGATTCATATTCTCAGGTTGAAGTACCCAGTACGGCAGAACAGTTGTTCTTCCAAATAAACGGACCCGAGGTTCAAGAAACGGAGATAGAAGAAGCAATTCCGAGAAGGTACTCCATAGGCTGAGACTTATCTGACTCCGATTGCCATCGATGAACATATTCAGCTGCCCAGGGTTCCGAGCGAATTTCTCCTTCGCCTTCATTCACATTTCGATTTTTGTCCTTTTATTGCAGTCGACAGAGAGGCGTCAGCGTCATCGACGTTGTGCGCGGTCACCAAAAGAGTATCGAGGAGTCGTACAAACTGTTCCTCGGCAACCACGAGAGCCAAACGACGAAAGAAGAGTGGACCATTCAAAATGAGCGGAGCCCCACCTGCTTCAAAGTCTCTCGACAGGAAGATAAGTGTCCCACAGAAGCCTCTGGTGAGGCTAGCGTGTGTCCCTTCACTTGCGTTCATTGCAAGTGCTGCACCCACATATACACCTGCAATTGCACCAGCGGGAAGAGTGGGAAGATGTGTCAACACATCCACGCCATTTCGCCAATACCTCAGGCGTTTGGAACGAGAGCAGAAAACTA